GTGGTACCTTTTCATATCAGCTGGCTTCTCCACTAGCCGGCTGTGCCCGGCATGCTTCCAGTGACATTAGGGAACCTTGCTGGTGACACTCCTGCATGGCTTACAAGGACCTCCTTGTTATTTGGCTTTTGCCTTATCTCTTGCTTTACTTCTTCAACCCTGTCCATAGGGACGGACATGATCAGTTTTGTATTTTTAAAAATAGCACTCTGGCTGTGGAGTGAAAGATGAATAAGAAGAAGGAATAAAATAGACATAGATAACATTATTTTGCTTTTTTTTTTTTTTTTTACCTCAGCCTGCCTCACATTGATATTCAGTGACTTTAGAGACCCTTAGAGTAGAAAAGGCGTTACAAGTATGCAGTAATGGAAAGTGCATATTGCTGTATTAGCAAGTGCTAATTTGGGGATTAGGGAAACATTTCTACTAAATGCATGCAGTTGCACTTCACATTCTTCTCTCCTGTATGTTATATTAAAAAGTAATCTGTATGGCGGTTCCTCAAAAAATAAAACATAGACTAGGATCTAGCAGTTCCACTTCTGAGTATATAAAAGAATTGAAAGCAAGGACTCAAACACATATTTGTACATTGTCACGTCCAGCATGGCAAGGGCATACAGGTTTCTCTTAAGGGGCGACGCAGATTGAATAAGAGCAAGAGACAAAAGTAAGATTAAGAGCGAGACCAAGGGACTCAGCCAGAGAAGACTGAGTGAGCCCCGAATTGGGTCAGCGCATGGCTTTTATTGAGAAATTTGAAAAGAAGTGAAACTGTTTCATTGCTGTCAATCAATTTGTAACCTGTGACTTATGTGTGCCTTAAGACCTTTTCCATTAGCATTCCCTTTGTGTTCCAACACATCCTGTGCCTTCACACTTCCTCCACATAGCCCCAAGACACTGTTACTGTGTCCTCCCAGGGGAGATAACTATTATCATTCCAATAGATCCCAGTCACCTGAGACACTCCCCGAGAGAGCTTTACAGATATCATTCCATCCGGCCTCAGTTTTCCGAGACACTCTCTCGACTAATGGGTCAGAGGCTAGTGTAGGGGGGTGGTAACGGAATTGGCTATAATGCAACAGTACATCAGTGTTCAAGGCAGTGTTATTCATAATAGCCAAAAGGTGGAATCAACCCAAATGTCCATGGGGTGATGGAAGGGACAAATAGATAAGTAATGTGGTATGTAATATTAATGGAATATTACTTTGTCTTAAAAAGGAAATTCTGACTCTTTGTTTAGCATGGATGAACCTTGAAGACATGTTAAATGAAAGATGCCAGACACAAAAGGACAAATATTGTATAGTTCCACTTATATGAGATGCCTGGAATAGTCAAATTTATAGAGACAGAAAGTTGAATAGTAACTATTCAGTGGTTACTAGGGGCTGGGAATGGGGAGATGTTGTTTAAGTCACAGAGTTGTAGTTTGAGAAGATGAAAGAATTCTGGAGAAAGGAGAGTGGTGATTGTTGCACAACAGTGTAAATGTACTTGATGCTAAAAAAAAAAGTGTACTTGATGCTACTGAGCGGTATACTTTAAAATGCTTAAAATGGTAAATTTTATGTTATGTATATTTTACAATAAAAAAAGATGACCTAGAAATACCATGCAGCCTGTAAGAAAGATTTCCATATAGTACTAATATTGTACTGATACTGAGAGATTTTAAAATAAAGTAAGAAAAAAGGTACAGTGCTATCTTTTGTATAAATAAGGACAAATAAAAATATATATTAATATTTGCTCTTAATTGCATAAATTAACAAGCAACTAATAAAATTTGTTATCTTTAGGCAGCAAGCGGGACTGGGGTTACTGGGGGCAGGAGTGGTAATAAGACATCTCAATCTGTATCCTTTTATATACATTTGGTTTTTAAACCATGTAAATAATATACCTATTCAAAATAATGTTTAAACATGGGACTTAACATAGATTCATTGCAGAGGGATCAACAATGTGTAGTCATAGAAAGCATAATTTTTTAGAGGTATTGATTACATATTGCTACATGTGACATCCTTCTAGACAGGTGGGGTCCAGGTGTCAGGGGTCTGTGCTAATGTTTGGTGTTTCAATAGCATGGTTTAGATGCAGAAGTGAGTTTCCCTTTCCCTTCCATCGCAGGCAGCAGGGAGAACATAGTTTGGGTAGAGACTTAATAAACGACAAGTTCATCAACACCAAGGAGTCAGAAAGAGAGGGAGACAAGCCCTTGTGCCTGGACCGAGGCCTCTTACCAGGGTCCAAGTGCTAGAAGGTTGACTGTGTCAAGTGGGGTCACTAAACATAGTACTTTGCCAAGACTGGGAGCCTAAAACATTCAAAAGCAGGAAACTGTCTGGCTATAGCTCTGCAGCCTTCCAAAATGCCACCTTTTGTGATTCAGTCATTAATTAGGAGCATATTATGTCTAACATTTGCATCTGAAGCAAGAAGTAGGGTTGCTTAACACTTGTTAGGCAGTGGGATCAGAAATAGCAGCTGATAGCTGAGCACCCACAGTTACCCACCCCTCTCCCTCCCAATCTCTCCCTCCCTACTGAGGGAGTAGGACTACTATGTCTTCCCTGGTCATTTCCCTTCCAGCTCCTTCTTTCCCACCCAGATCCACAGGAATTACAGAAGGAATACTGAGGCTGGCTAGGGGCAGCCCACCCATCCTAGCTTTTACCTCTTTGCTGTGTTCCAGGGGTTGTGGGTTGGAGGGAAAACCTAGGGAGTCATATTCGGGAATCATGCCCAAATCATAGCTGGTGGAGCACTTTCCAGCAAAGTTGTCAAGGTGTAGGTGAAGAGAAAGAGCTCAGGTAGAGAGCCAAAATGAGAGAATTGGGGAACTAGGAAATCTATAATATTATTGAAAGTTGTAAACAATTAGGCAAACTGGAAAATAGTCTATAAAAGGTCCCTGAGCTGGAGCTCAGACTTTTTTTATTTTTTATTTTTTTTACGTGATTCCAGCACAGGCACTCGCTGCTTTACTCATTTAAAGTTACTAGATTGAGTGAGCAATTTATTTTTCTCTGCCTCATCGATCTGTTTGTGTGTGTCGTCTTCACTGCGCTGTAGGAATTAAAGACAAGGACTTCAGCAATTGTGGAAAAAGCATGGACTTTGGAATCAGGCATATCCATTTAAATCCAAACCTCTTTTTCTAAGTGTTTGATTTTGGCCCACTTATTTTTATTATACTGAACCTCAGGCTCTTTGTGCATCACAGTGTTATAAGGATTAAATGAGAGAAAAACATTTATATATATAATCATCTTACACATAGAAATTATTCAACAGAAGTTTTGTTCCCTCTCCCTTTTTGTATCTTCCATAGAGCTTTACAGTTGAAAGGCATTCAATATATTTATCAAATTGAAAATGTTTCTCTCTACCTATTAGATCTGAACCCTGGTTAAGCCTGAGGCAGGCATATTTATAAAGCTTTCACCTCAAGCAGCTAATGTTATTGTTGCTAAATATTTTATCAAGCAACTGCCTGTTTTGTGCCAGTGCTGTTTTCACTTGCTGATGTGGTCTGGTTTTCCTTCTTATTATCAGAGTCCAGCTTGAAGCTTCTACTTCGTGTAGGGCCTATTCCTTTTCTCTGTTTACAGGACTTCTTATTCACACCAATTTTAATCATTGGGTATGACAGTAATTCCCTTATACTCACTCCTCTTCTAAAAAACCTCAACCATGCGCTCTAGGCATGGATAAGTGTAGGGACTGTTAAATATCTTTCCCTCTTTTGTCAAATATTTATTGAGTGTATACTGAGCTAGGGTGGATATAAACAATGTTAATACATGATTCCTGCCTGTCAAGAAGCTTTTCCTCTAATAAAAAAATATACACACATACCAAAATACATTTAATTATTTAATGATATATTACTTTTGTTTACCATTTTATATTTTACGATTTAAAATGATCGCATTTTAAAAACACACACATACGGGCCGGCCGAGTGACACATTGGTTAGGAGTTGGCTTGGGACGCCAGCTCTGAGCAGCAGGGCCCCAGTTTGGATCCCACATATGAGGGCCAGTGATGCTGCGCCCTCTACAGCTAAGATGGTGAACAACAGTTCGACCTAGAGCTGGGCTGCTGTGAGTCGCTGGCAATGGTGTAGGCTGCAGTGGGGCTGGCTGGCAGCTGGTATGTGCTTTTGTGAGCTGCGGTGAGTGGCTGTGCAATGGCTGGCAAGCGACTGCCTCACCTGGGAAGAGTGCAATGATAATGCAAACATGGGCCAGTGAAGTGACATCCTCCACAACTAGACTGAAGAACAAAAGGACAGCAACTTGTCTGTTCCCCTTCCCTGATTCCCCAACGCTGTTCCCCTTTCCCAATTCCCCAATAAAAAAATCTTAAAAGAAACAAAAACAGAAAAAAACCCACACATACAGGGCCGACTGAGCGGCTCAGTTGGTTAAGAGCGTGAGCTCTGAGCAACAGGGTCAACGGTTCGATTCCTACATGGGCCGAGCTGAGCTGCCAACAGGTGGCAGGATGGCTCAGTTGGTGAGAGCACGTGCTCCTAACTACAAGGTTGCCGGTTGGAATCCCTCATGGGATGGTGGGCTACGCCCACCCACAACTAAGATTGAGCATGGCATTTTAAGCTGCCATGAGCTGCCAACGTGTGGCCGGATGGCGACTACATTTGGAGCTGAGCTAGCTGTGTCCCTCCACAACTAAGACTGAAGGACAACAACCTGGCTGTTCCCCTTTCCCAATTCCCCAACACTGTTCCCCTTACCCCAATTCCCCAATAAAATCTTAAACACACACACACACACACATACACAGAAAGGATTAGAACGATCCACACCAAGATGTTGACAGAGCTTATCTCAGAGTGATGGTATTTTGGGTAGCATTTTTTTCCTTTTATTTTGCTCATCTGGATTGTCTACATGTGCAGGACTTTCATTTTGAAGTTACAGGAAATGTCCTCGTTCCCCCTCCTTGTTAACAGGATAGTGACCCCTCTCCCTCTTGTATTCAGCTTTTGCGGGAATTGAAGCACCCTAACGTGATCGCCTTGCAGAAGGTGTTTCTGTCGCACAGTGACAGGAAGGTGTGGCTGCTGTTTGACTATGCAGAACATGACTTGTGGGTAAGTCTAAACTCACTTTGTTTTTAGAACGCTTTTATAGAGGGATGGAGAAATAAATGTATGCACTACATACAAGTATTGTGAATTCACATAAAGGAATACTTGCTCTGTTGACCTTAGTTCGAGATAACTATAATAAATGTAAATGGAGATTTAAAAGAATTTGAGCAATAAACATCATCTTACTTTACTGAGAAGATAGTATTTGTGATAATCAGAAATTTCACTTTGTAAAATGTGAATGAGTAGGAGCTTATAATTTTATGCAAGTAACTAATGGCGGTTTACTAATATGTGTAGTGAAAATTACTTTCTTTGTCCTACACATAGTAGTTCAAATGTAACCAGTTACATACTTGTGAATAGCTTCCTTTTCTAAGTTAAGGTCAATCTCTTGCAGCATTTTCCCATTTAAAACTGACTCCTCCAAATAGAAGTATATGTATGGTTTTATAAATATTAGGGATGTTTTGTGAGTTAGTAGAAGCCAAAAATTCTAATTCCAAATTTATAAGTTAGGAATCAAGGCATTTATATATTTTTTTCTGAGGAGTTGCTAAAAATAAAAAACCTCAGACTTAGAAAAAAATTCAAATTTTGTGGTAAGTTCAAACTTGGCGATAATTAAATTTTCATTTAATATAGTATAGTTTGTCATCTTTATAAACTATAAATCTGCTGAGGAATAACTTTAACAGACTTACAGGTCTTGAAGGAACTTTCAGAGTTTATGCTTTTATAAGCAGATATTGACAAGAACTTCCAGTATGTTTTTCTCTATTCTTTTCATGTATATTCAGTATTCATTTTGGCATGTTTTGGACAAGGGTGGGATGGAGATGGAGGTAGAGTTGGGCGTGTAGAATGTCTTCCCTTTCATTACAATACTTTTATAATCCACAATATGACATGTGGACATAAAAATTTAAATATAGTGATCCAGTTTTATTTATTTCAATGGTATTGAATCCCCCATTTCCCCTCCCTCCTTTTTTCTAGCAACTTATTTAATATTAATGACTAGGAATATATCCTAATTTCATTCTGTGCCAAAAGAAGGTGGAACTTTCCAATAATTCAAATATACACATAGTGATGTTACTCAAATGCACTAAATACTTTTGATAGAATAGTAAAGATTTATAATTTTTCTCTTTTTAATCTTTCATTCTGTCAATCGAGAATATAACTAGTACTATTTTTAGGTAGCCTTTTAAGTATCAACACTTTTTACCTTTTGGTCCTATTTAATGAAAATCTTAACGGTTTTAGTAAATCTGTAATCATACCCGCATTAAAACTGTCAGATTTACCCCCAATATAGATTCTGTTTTGGTTGGCCTTGTTATTTAAATTGTTTTTCTTTGTGACATTATTAGCCTTTAATAAGTAATTTTAGAATATAGAGAATTTATTGCAGTCTTGATTATGTATTATTGACATAGACAAAGACTATACATTATAGTATTTTGTTTTTTTTAGCATATTATTAAGTTTCACCGTGCATCGAAAGCAAATAAAAAGCCCATGCAGTTGCCAAGATCTATGGTTAAATCATTACTTTACCAGATTCTTGATGGTATCCATTACCTCCATGCAAACTGGGTGCTTCACAGAGATCTGGTAAGTATGTTTCTTGTAAATTGATCGGTATGTTTTTTTCCTCTCTTTTAAAATACATATTTTTTTCTTGGTACAATTATGGTAAACATTAATTACAGAAATTTTTGAAACTACACATAAGCGAAAAAGAAGAACATAAAAATCACCCATAAACCTATAATCAAAAGATTACCATTATTAACATTTGGTGCATGTTCTTCCATTTTATTTATGCATGGGTATAAAATGTTAGTGTGGTTCTCACCAAGTGATTGGTATAATCTTAATGGGATAGTCATATGTAAAAGTATTACCTCTTGTTTTTTGTGTTATTGCTCATTGTTAGCAAAAACATTAATAATTAAAGACTGAGTTCTCGTTTTTTTTTTTCTCTTTAAGAGCTACACTGAAATAAGGACATTTCATCCAGTAAATAGAATATTGTTAATCAGCATTAACAATAAATAAATGAATAAATCTAACAGTTGGAATATACTTATTAGGGAAATTAGCCACGATTCAAATGTTTGATTTTACTTTTTTATTCAGTAGACATATAACAAACTTTTACTAATGTCAAATTATATGTTATTCATCTTTGCATTATTGTCATTTTTGTTTATGTTGATGAGATTTTTTGTTTGTTCTTAAGAAGATATGGCACTGAATAGTTATAATACCCATGAATTTATAATTGGAAGTTTTACTTTGCCCCCATGAAATGTAACACAGGCACAAAGTGAGCAAATGCTGTTGGAAAAATGGCGCCAATAGACTTACCCGACGCAGGGTTGCCACAAACCTTCAATGTGTAAATAACACAGTATCTGCAAAGCACAATAAAGCGAAGCGCAGTAAAACGAGATATGCCTATATTTTGTTCTACGTAGCATAGATCAACACATGTTATTTGTGATGTTATCACCTGAATGTCCACTGGCACTAAAACTCATTACGAGCAGGACTCAGTTTTCTGCCATCCAAACTGGCTGCTGCTTTAGTGTCTGTCCTCTGTTCTGGTTATGGCACCCACCTTACTCCTAGCCTAGAAACTTTTTTTACCCCTTGCAGTCTCTTGAACTCCATATCTAGAGGTTGCATTGTCCTGTCACTTTGACCTTTAGAATGTCTCTTCCACTCATCTATTGTAATTCCACCCCTTCCTAGTTCAGGCCTTTATTATCTCTTTCTTGTAGTGTGTGGTACTAGCCTTTTGTTTCTTTGTCAGCAATCTCTTTCTCTTCCCATCGCTTCAGACCTTCCAACCTCAGCTCCTAATTAAGAACTTTGAAATAATTCCTCATTGCTTACAGACTAAAGCTCTAGCTCCTTATTTGGCTTTCAAGGTCTTGTCAGGTATGGCTCCAATTGCCTTTCAGTAGTTTCTTTATCCATATGATCTTTTACTTACACCATTCTGTTGAACTGTTAATTGTTCCCTGTATCCTCTTGAGATTTCCTTTATTTCTTCTGTCTTAAAACTACTTACCTCGTCTCTACATATTCATATACTACCTGTCTTTCATGACCCATACAAATATTAAAACTTATCCTCATACTTGGAAATAATCTCTCCTTGTTGGTTGTTGTACTTCGCCTTTACTTCTCTTATAGCACTTGTATATTCGTATTATAGTAATATATATAGATGTCTAGAAGATGTTATTGACCATACACTTCCTGAGAGAACACGGTCTCTAATTCATTTTGGTACAGTACTATGCTAGTGCACAGTAGGTACTGAGTAAATATTGCCTTAGTGAATGAATATCAGTAAGAATATTGATTATTATGGCATAGTTTTGAATCAAATAACGTATATGTATTATGCATTTTAACACACTGTCCCCAGTAAACATTTATTGTATGTGCAAAGCATGGAGGGATGGGGCAGTACAAATACGACTTGCATCAGAGACCTTCTCAGCAGTTTAGCCTGAGAGAAAAATATGACCTGTACACAGTTATACTATAGGATAGATGAGAGAGAATATGATCATGGCTATGTGAGACGTACAGACTGGATGTTATTCAAGATTAGAAGAGGTTCTAAGTGGAGGGATAAAGGAAAGCTTCAGAGAGGCGCCATTTTGATCTAGACTTTGAAGGATGAGTAGAATTTAAATAGAGATTTGAGAGATGAAGTTATACCTGACAGCCCCTTAGGAGTGTTGGGTGTAAAACTTCTGAGGTGAGAAAGCACTTGAATTATCCCAAAAAAGGTTGTGTAGTTCTGTCTGGCTCAAAAATGGATAAGCTGAATTAGAGTAGTATGAGGTAAGACTAGAAAGACATGGGTTGGAGCCTGATTGTGGAAGGCCCTAAATATCAGGCAAGGGAGTTTGTTTGTTTTTAAGTACTAAATGTTTGTGAGCTACAGAGTGGAGTTTTTCTCCCTGATGCAATTTTTTTCCCCACTAAAGAAGCTACCACTGATTATTATCACCTCACCCATAGCACGCAATGTTGAAAATATGTTCTGTACATGGTTCTGACCTAGTATAGCATTGGTGTATATTTTACCCACGCATTCACCGAATGCTTCTACTCCTTAAGTAACTCTAATAAGATTTGAAACTTGGAACCAATAAGAATCTAGTCTGTGACAGCCAGCTCAGTTCTTTTCATTGACCATGAGTCCTGATATCTGGACCATATTGTCATGGTTTTGCCAAAATTATTTTCAGGAGTAGAAGATTTAAACTATGTTTACTTTGTAGATATGTTCTGTAGTAGATATAGAAATTTCAATTATATCAAATATGAATATGGTGTTAAAAGCATGATGGGGACATTTGAAAAATTATTTTTTTGTATGTGAGCTTAAGAGTAGAATTGCAATTTTAGTCAATGAGTATTTTTTAAAAACGCTTCATTTCATATTCTTATCAAAAACCTGGCTTTACACTATTTGTTAGTCACAACTGTTTCAGAGTATGTACCATATCTAAATTTTCATTTGATGTGAGAAACCTGGAAAATGCATACAATTAAAGGAGTAAATATAAACTACCAATATAATAGTTTAACATCTCCCCCCAAATTTAAAAAGTAAATAAAAGTGAGCGTTTTAGACTTCACACACATTACAGAGTCAGAAGCATTACATCATCAAAGAGCTTGGTGTTTTTCATTGTGATTGATTTCATATCTGGAATAGTATTTTCGTTATGTCATTTGGATCCTAGAATTTAATACAGAAATATACAATTTAAAGTCACCAAAAAGATTACTTATATTGAGGAACTGCTTTGAAAGGAAAGGAGAAAAGGAGCTAAGTATATTCATCTTGGCCGAGAGACAGTAAAGTAGAGACATAAGTCTATAAATATTTGGAACTTGTAAACACCAAGGGGGAAAAGATGTATTTTAATTTTATAGCAGGATGTAGCTAACAGTAAGAAGATGAAATATAGGATGACTCATTTTTATGGGACTACTGTTCTGGTAGGTTGGAAGGATGCCAAGACATAGTTTATCCCTTTTTCAAAATTATGGGCTTCTTGAGAGCAAGGATCATATTTCACTAATTTTTGTATTCCTAGCATTGACATATTGTTTCTGCTCATAAGTTACTTGAAATGAATTTCAGCAAAACATTTGGCAGTTGCACATTTTTCTTTAGCAAAGGTAGAGAAATGCTGGCTAAGTGATAGTATTGTTAAGTGGATTTATGGCTCCTTAGTTACAGAATTTCGCTACTGGATTAGTGACATAAACTGAACTATAAGTTTAAGTATCTCTTTTTCACCTTCATATCTCAGCACCTAGCACATGATAAATGATAGGTCTTTACTGAATGAAGGATTCAAATGAATGTTCCAGGGCTCTGACCCTAGCTCTGTCTTTTAAAAGATGTTTGTGAAGGTCCTATCCCAAAGCTTTAACTTAAGTTTTAAATGACAATTATTGTTCACAATAGTGGGTGAGTTTGTAGTCTTGGAAGTCAATAGGCACAAATAACTATATGGTCTGCAAATATGGTACATGAAAACTTTTTGAGATCTGGTTGAAGAAGAAAATAATTTTGTATGTTAGTAATCTTGGGGTTTGTTATTAGTTAATGTCTACCAAACATTTTTGGGTTTTCAAAAGATCACTTCTGTCACAAACCTAAATACTTATTTATTTTATTAGAGGTTAATAATAATAAATAATAAAATAATATTTGCCGATACTTAGACATAATTCAGTTGATTAAAGAAAATGATGCAATAGATATTCTAGCTACAGAGGGGAATATATAATATTTGATTCTGGATATTTTGTCTTAGTAATTGATAGAGAACTATATAGTTTTGTTTTTTTGACGTATTTTCTTCCTTATGACACCTACTTGTTCAGACAGAGTTCTTACTTTTCAACAGCATTCTAGGTTGTTTATGACATGTTGGTTATGTATATTTTAAGTCTTTGTTAAATATTAGTTATTTATTGCTGTGTAACAAATTGCCCCAAAATGTAGCGGCTTTAAGTCAAGATTTATCATCCCAGATTCTGTGAGTCAGGAATCTAGGTATAGCTTATCTGGGTCCTCTGTTTCAGAGTCTCTTTAAAAGGTTGCTGTCATCTCAAATCTTAACTGCGGAGAATCCACTTCCTAGTTTACTCACGTGGTTGTTGGCAGGATTCATTTCCTCATGAGCTGATGTGTGGAGGCTTCCCGTGGTTCCTTTTGCCATAGAGCATCTCACAACATGGTGGTTTTCTTCACCAGAGTGAGTAAACAGGAGGGCAAGAGAGAGCGTGTGTTAGCAAGATGGAAGTCACAGTGTTCTGTAAGTTAATCGTGGAAGCGACATCCATTACTTTTGTTGTATTCTGTTTATTAGAAATTACTAGGTGCAGCCCATACTCAAAGGGAGTAGTTACACAAGCGTGTGTATGCCAGGGGTGGGGTGATTGGAAACCATGTCCAAAGCTGGCTACCACAGAGTATAAGAGGCTTTTAAATGATATTTGGATCCTATTATGGTCCTTTTTGTTTAGTAGAAATATAATAAAGAAAATGCAAGTCCCCT